CCCCCAGTTTACCATCTTCTCAGGCAAATCTTTCCCCTCTCTGATCCTTGGTTTCTCCTTTTTTTTCCCCTTTGCATTTTATGTTTTAAATCATTATCACAGGTTTCTCCTTTCCATAGAATGAGGGTTTGGACTAGATGATTACTAAATGCTGTTTCAGTGTAAATGTGCTACATCTCTAAGCAGATAAACCTACCTACCTACACCTGTACTCCCAGGGATACACAGGTGCTCCCGCACAGGAGGCTTTGGTCCTTGACTCAGCCCAGCCCTGGCCTCTTATTTTGTTTATGTCTCCAAGACTATACTAATGCTAGTCCCTCTGAGGCCACTTGCAGAACCTCAGCCCTACTGGTCATACCTCAGTGCCACAGGCAGCCAAGAGCAAACCCATGAGCATCTGGGGAGTGCTTGGAGAAAAGCTAGACACTTTATATGAATGGTGTGGGGAGGGAGGTAGCTTTACCTTCTGCGGGGCCCTAAGATTCAGCCTCATGGCGACTGACTACGTTGGCTGGGCCTTTCCATTCTAGTCAATCATGAGGAAGCCACGAGCAGCTGTGGGAAGTCGAAGTCGTTGCAGGAAGCAGGCATCCAGCCAGGAGGGAAGGGAGAAACGTGCCCTCAGCAGCAGCCAGGCCAAGCTGTCTGCACCTGACGGTGAGGAGCTTGGTCTTAGAGACTCAGGGGCTGGTTTAATTGGCCATGAAAGGGGACAGATTCAGGCTGGGAAGGGAGCATGGTATGTATCAAGGCATTAAGGAACTAATTAAGGTTCTAATTCTGACTTTCCTCTGTGGCTTTGGGATAATTGCTCTGAATAGCTGCTTTCTTACCAGTGACATGGCGTAGTAGTCTGTGCATTTCCTTCCTCACTTGGCTGTCATGGGATCAAATGAGTTTATCAACCTGTCAGTGTTTTGTAAATGGGAAGGCCCTGCACAGGTATGTATTATGCTTGGCTGAAACATGGATTTTCATTATGACCCAGAGACAAAGGAGCCAGGGGTATCACCCTGGGAAATGAAGGCCAGAAACTTGGCTAAGGCTACGCAGGGCTAGAGACTCCAGGTCCCAAGCTTAAGCAAGGGCTTGGGGGTGGGGGAAGCTTTAAGTGGAACAGACTGAAACCAGGTCACAGTGCCCCAGATTGCTGGTGCACAGCCTGTGCAAGGACGATCCCTGAGTTTTCTGAGGCTCCAGCAGGCCTGGCCAGGCAGCAGGAGGAGGTGAGATTGCAGGCCCCTGTCTCCCCGTACCATCTATTCAGAGACACAGCTGAGGTGACAGTCTTCCGAAAGAGGCTGCTGAGCTGGTATGACCGAGAGAAGCGGGACCTGCCCTGGAGAAGGCGGGTAGGTGGGTGAGGGACGGGGACGGTGGAGTAGGGGAGGCTGGTGCCCAGCCCCCTCCACACTAACTGCCCATCTGGAATTTCATTGGCAGGTGGAGGGTGAGGTGGACCTAGACAGGCGGGCATATGCTGGTGAGTACATCTCCTGAGAGCAGGGCTGCTTTGCCTGGACGCTCTCAGGTCTGGGTCTGTGGGCTAGGAGCAGGGCTGGTTAGCCGTGTCCTCATACCAACCCCTCTTCCCCAGTGTGGGTCTCAGAGGTCATGCTGCAGCAGACCCAGGTTGCCACGGTGATCGACTATTATACCCGATGGATGCAGGTGACTTCAGGGAGTGAAGGGGAGGGTCATGGTCCAGACCCCAGATGACTCATTTGGGGTGGGGATAAAGAAGGCTTCTTCCACCTCCTTCACTTTTGGCCTCATCTCTTTTTGCCTGCCTTCGTGCTGTAGAAGTGGCCAACGCTGCAGGACCTGGCCCGTGCTTCCCTGGAGGTGAGAACCACCCTAGGGTCGGGGAATGGGGACTACTGAGGACCGACCTCTGATCCCTCTGACCTCTGACCCCACCCACAGGAGGTAAACCAGCTCTGGGCTGGCCTGGGCTATTACTCTCGAGGCCGGCGGCTACAGGAAGGAGCCCGGAAGGTAAGAAGGTGGCGGGGGGCGTGGGAGCCCCAGGGCCTCAGGTATCTTATAACCTTAAGCCTTCCCATCCCAATCAGGTGGTAGAGGAGCTAGGGGGCCACATGCCACGTACAGCAGAGACCCTGCAGTGGCTCCTGCCTGGTGTGGGGCGGTACACAGCCAGAGCCATTGCTTCCATTGCCTTTGGCCAGGTGAGCCCATAGCCCACCCCCATATTGTGTGTGCCTACCTTCCTTCCTCCCAGACCAGGCTGACTCCTGGACTCCTCTGTGCCAGGCAACCGGTGTGGTGGATGGGAACGTAGTACGGGTGCTATGCCGTGTCCGAGCCATTGGTGCTGATCCCAGCAGCACCCTTGTTTCCCAGCAGCTCTGGTAGGATATTGGAGTAATGGGGGAGATTGGGAGAGTTGCCTCCAAAGGATCTTTGGCTCACAGCAACGTTCCCTTCTTGTAGGAGCTTAGCCCAGCAGCTGGTGGAGCCAGCCCGGCCAGGGGACTTTAATCAAGCAGCCATGGAGCTGGGGGCCACAGTGTGCACCCCGCAGCGCCCGCTCTGCAGCCAGTGCCCTGTGCAGAGCCTGTGCCGGGCACGCCAGAGGGTGAGCCATCTGGGGAAGGGGTAGTCAGGGGTCCTAGGAAGTGACCCCTGCCCCATGACATCCTGCCCTGTCTCTGACTCTCAGGTGGAGCGGGAGCAGCTCTCAGCATCACGGAGCCCGCCAGGCAGTCGTGACGTGGAGGAATGTGGTGAGTGCCAGCCCTAGCCCTTCCCTGTACTGTCGAGGAGCTGCCTGTGGCCACCTCATTCCATTTCATTCTACAGTCTGAGTAAGATTCTACAGAGGTGGGCCAAGGCCTGCTCTCCAGGCTTGGCACCTAAGCCCACCTGGCCTGAGTGGGGCTCTTGGATCTCTGTTCCCAGCTCCCAACACTGGACAGTGCCAGCTGTGTGCGCCTCCCACAGAGCCCTGGGACCAGACCCTGGGAGTGGCCAACTTTCCCAGAAAGGTCAGTCGCAGGCCCCCCAGGGAGGAGTGCTCTGCCACCTGTGTTCTGGAGCAGCCCAGGGCCCTTGGGGGTGCCCGAATTCTGCTGGTGCAGAGGCCCAACTCAGGTACCTTGATCCTGGGAGTGCAGGGAGGTGGCATGAGCAACGAGGAAGAAATAGAGGCATCAGTAGCTAAGGCCTAACGGATACCTGGCTGCCCTCCCTCTCAGGTCTGCTGGCAGGACTGTGGGAGTTCCCATCTGTGACCGCAGAGCCCTCAGGGCAGCACCAGCGCAAGGCCCTGCTGCGGGAACTGCAGAGTTGGGTTGGACCTGTCCCGGCCACCTGCCTTCGGCACCTGGGACAGGTGAGTGAGCAGAGGAGGGGCCAGGAATGATGGCTTCTGTGGCCACATCCGCAGGTCTGTTTCAGCCTCTTGACGCTCCCCCCAGGTGGTCCACACCTTCTCTCACATCAAGCTGACATACCAAGTATATGGTCTGGCCCTGGAAGAGCAGACCCCAGTGACCGTTGTACCACCTGGAGCTCGCTGGCTGACCCGGGAGGAGTTTCACACTGCTGCTGTCTCCACCGCCATGAAAAAGGCACTACCTTTGTTGTCTTCGTTGTACTTTTTGTGTTTCCTACATGTTCTAAGTGAACCTGTTACTATGTAAGCAAACAAAAAAGCATATTTTAAACAAAGGTGCTGGGGTATGAAGTTGAGGGCTCTTTGGGGTCAGATGCCAGCCCTGCACTTTCCTCCTCTCTTCTTGTCTAGGTGTTCCGTGTATACGAGGGCCAACAGCCAGGGACCTGCAAGGTGAGTGTCTTGGCCCTCACCCAGCCATCTCTCTCCAGGACCAAATCCACAGGTTTTCAGTGAGGTAAATGATGCACGTTTGGGTGAACAGTCTTCATGACAGACTTCACTGGGGCGAGAGAAATAGTTCTTGACCAGACTTCACAATCTGGGTCCAGGGTAGAGAGGGGACAAGACCAAATGATGGAGACAGTAGTGTCACAGGTGTGTGAAATGTTTGTACAAGATTTTGTGGGATATGAAGTGGGGAGCTATCATTTTTATCTAGGAGGCAAGAATCAGGAATGGCTGCTTGGAAGGAGTGGCTGGTAACCTGGGTCCTGGAAATGAATTGTTTTCTCCAGGTTTGGAAGGGGAATCAGCTGTAAAGACGTTCTTTCCAGGCCCAAGAGTATTGTGAGCAAAGGTGGGGTACAGTACAGTCTGCAGCGCTCAAGGAGCTGTGAGCATTTGGTTTAGTTGGAGCGGTGAGCAGGGCCTGCCCAGGCCAGTCAGGGATATGAACGCCAGGCCACTGAAGCATTTTAGGTGGAGAGAGGAGTCATCTTTGCATCTTAGGAAGACTGCCTCAGGCTGCCTTTTTAAATTAATTAATTAATTTTTGGCTGCGTTTTGTCTTTGTTGCTGTGTTCAGGCTTTCTCTACTTGCGGCGAGTGGGGGCTACTCTCCGTTGCGGTGTGCGCGCGGGCTTCTCATCGCGGTGGCTTCTCTCGTTTCGGAGCACGGGCTCTAGGGCTTTAGGTGCGCGGGCTTCAGTAGTTGTGGCTCGTGGGCTCTAGAGCGCAGGCTCAGTAGTTGTGGCGCACAGGCTTAGTTGCTCCGCGGCATGTGGGATCTTCCTGGACCAGGGCTCGAACCCATGTCCCCGGCATTGGCAGGCGGATTCTTGATCACTGCGCCACCAGGGAAGTCCTCAGGTTGCCTTTTAGAGAGTTGATCAAAGAGTTAGATACTGGTAACAGGATGGAAGCTTTACAATATAAGGCTAGAATCTGAGCTAGATCAGTGGTGTGGGGGGAGGGGTGGAATGAGAAGATTCTCTGTTGCCCCCTCAGTACCTCCTTCCTTCGGCTTCTGCACAGGGTTCCAAAAGATCCCAGGTGTCCACCCTGTCCGGATGGAAAAAGCCCAGCGCAGGCCAGCAAGTCCTGGATAGTTTCTTTCGGCCCCACATCCCCTGCTGATGCACCCAGCCTCAACAGTGCAACACAGTGATGCCTCTGGAAGCCCCCCCACCCCCGAGAATCCTGTTTAATAAAATGCTGATTTTTGTAGTCATTCTGGAGACTTTCCACCTTCTCCTTAGGCCCCTCACTCCTCACCTCTGAGGGACCCAGGAAGTGGTAAAGTCCTGCTTGGTCCTGACTTCCACTGAGCTCCTAGCCAGCCCTGGGCAGATGGAGGAGGGGAGTGTTCTGAGTGATCTGTCCTCCTCCAGCCCCAGAAGAGAAGAAGGCCAGTGGCTGACATCCAGCACTCTCAGTCCAAGTCTCTCTTCAGCTCTGATTGGAGTTGTGTCATCACCCTAGAGCAGGTGGTTGAGCTCAGCTCTGACTCAGCCCCTCCCACCTGCAATGGCTGGTCCCTAGGGAGAGGGGAATCACAGAGGAGGATTTGTTTTGTCTTAGACTCCTACCTCAAATAATAAACCATTTATTTAGGGATACATTACATAAGCAGTGAAACAATACAGAAAAGCAGAGGGTTTTTAATCATAATATTGGGAGTGTGGTGGAGAGAAATGGGGTCAGAGAAGGACACAAGGAGGGTTCAAAAATATTGGTTATGTTCTGTTTCCTAATTGTGTAATTCCTTTATTCTTTGCATTTTGCATATATGTTAGATATAGACAATATGAGAAACGTTTCACAGTTTAAAAAAAAGTCCCATCTCTTTGGACCCCTGTGAGATTCAACTTCTGGCACGATGAGATGGAGACCACACCTGGCCCCTAAAGACAAAGCCTTTCACTCCAGGCCTCTGTGGGTGTCTCTCAGTTCCAGCAGGCCCTGTGCTGGACTCTCCAGTGCTCCAGGACAGGCGGCTACACCCAGCTTCAGCCCTTCTCAGGCTTCCTGGACCCTGGCAGCTTGCTCCTGCACGGACTGCCACAGGGCCCGAATGTTGCCCTGGCCAAATCCAGTGGCCCCCTGCCTCTGAATCAGCTCCAGGAAGAAAGTGTCCTCTGCAAAGAGGGACTTGGTGAAGACCTGAAGCAGAAACTTGCCTCTGTCACCATCTAGCAAGACCCCCTGTCGGGCCAGCAGGCTAGGCTCTAGCCCTGCAGCCAGGATCTGCTTCTCCTTGCCTGGCTGCTGGTAGTAGGCCTCAGGAGGAGTCAGGAGCTGACCCCCGGCCCCTACCACTCCCTCAGTGGCTTCCATGATATTTGGTGTGTATAGCCCCACGTGCTGCAGTCCAGGTCCCCCGTTCCGGGCCAGGAACTGCTCCACCTGGTCCTGTCGGCTGGTGACCCCCAGCAGGGACTCGGCCAGCACGAGGGTAGGGACAGCACTACCCGTAGGGGCCCGCAGGGCGGTGAGCCTCAGCCCCCCGGGCCCAGACTCTGCTGCCACCTCCAGGCCCAGCTCCGGATCCTCACCTGGGCTCAGCGGCAGGTGGTGAAAGCCTAGACAGTCGTGGAACCAGCGCATCAGTTTTGGGGAGCTGCTGGCGGTGCAGGCCAAGGTCAGGTGGTCCACGTGGCTGACCCAGCCCGGGCCAGGTGCGGAGGGCACAGGCCTAAAGCCGGGCAGGAAGGGCCCGCAGAAGCCAGTGCGGTCCAGCAGCGTCAGGCTGAGTTTGCCGGCCGGCGAGCTGATCACGGCGTAGGTGGCGGCGCCCTGCTCATCCCGCATGCTGACAGGGGGCACTGGCACGCTGCAGCCGAGCGCCGCCAGCGCCCGGGCGGCGGCGCCCGCGTCGGCCACGTCGAAGCACAGGTTCGTGGCACTGGGCACCGCATGATGCGGGTCCAGGCCGTACAGCGGCTCTGCGGGCCCCGCGCCCTCGTTCACCAAAAAGACCGCGTCGCCGCTCCGCAGAGCCAGCTGCCGCCAGCCGTCTGCTTCCCGCACCGCCAGGGGCTGGAAGCCGAAGAGGCGCTGCAGATCCCGGGCGAGGGGCAGCCCCGCCGGCACGTGGAAAGCGATATGGCACAGACGGCGGGCGGGCGCGGCCATGGCGGTCTGGATGGCGTCCCTGGCCTGTCCTTCCCTTGGGGACAATCTCTTGTCCGGGACTCGGAGACTCTCAGTCCCTGGCTTGTCGTCAGAAGCCGGTGGAGTCCAATTTTGCCTGCAGACCGCGTTCCTCGATCTTTTTCGGGGAGAAGCCACAGACGGACCACTTGGGGGCTTGTGGTTCCCTCTGCCGAAGCACGCCAAACTGGAGCTACCTGGAGACCACCGAGTCTGAGCTGCGGCTCTAGAGAACCACGCGGAGCCAGTACAGGGGCGGGGCGAGGGGGGGCGGAGCCAGTGACTGCCACTCTCCACCCTCTCGCTCAGCCTGTGTGGCCGAGAGTACACCGGGGACACAGGACTGACCCTTCCCATGACCTCTGGCTGGGCCTCATTCTTGGGTACTGACCTTCCCACGGCCTCTGGCTGGGCCACACACCTTTGGGCACTGAGCCTCCCATCCCCGGACCCTGGAGATCACAATAGCTGCCTTCACTAGGTGCCAGGCACTGGGTTCCCACTCATGCCCCAACCTCAGAGCAAAGGGAATCAGCCCTAGTCGAGGGAAGAGTCCGAATTTTCCCTCTACAAGCACGGAATTTCTTAGCAATTTCATGTTTTAGCTTAAAATTTTTGGAGAATTTTGCTTTTAATTGCCTAATGTTCCTTTAAAACTTAAAATAGAATAAAATGCTTTAAGTTTCAGATTTTCACTCTTT